TCTAAATGTATTTGTTTAAATGTAAATATACATTTTAAAATGTGTTGAATGTTGGGCCCTTTGTCACACATTTAATTGTGCAGGTTGGATACAAAATTCATGTTCACAAAAAAAAGACTGCTCCTGATTTTCGTTTTCTTTTTTCTTTTTTTCAGGCAGTCCATCGGGTCAAATTGAATGCATGGGACCGTGGATTTATCAGTAAGTGTTTTCAATCTCCCCACGCCTTTCCACCTGGCTTTAGTCAAGAGAAGTGACACTTTGTGGAGGTTGTTATTTGCCTGACAAACAGCTGGATTAACCCCGGGTACTGGTGTCTGCACTCTTAGCGAACTGGTTAGACTGCGGTTTTAAAAATCACATTGTTTTTACTTTTTTGTTTTTATTTCAAACTCTAAAAATCGAATTACTGTCCTCCTGCAGAGTACTTTTGCTTTAATAGCCAGAAAAGCTGCACTCTAGTTGCACAGGTGAACTGGATTTAAGTCTGCAGTGTGATTCTAATGAACCACAGCATTGCTCTAATGAACTGCAAACCTACCCATGTTTTCTGTGAGCATCCGGTATCTGAAAGCACCTCTGCTCCCCTGGCGGCTGCTGTTAGAGGGTATTCATATCCAACTAGTCTCCAGTCTGTCTGCACTTCATTAAAACTTTTTATTTTAACTGGACGATCCAGTTTAACATTATTACACCTGGGGAGAGTAAAGGCTATTAGGTTAAGGGTTTGATTAAAAGCGCATCGTAACAATGTTCATCAGGGAGCAGATTATTGCACTGTCTGCATCCAGGTCAGTTGCTGCTGGGCCACCAAATTAAAAACGTGCCATACATGGACACAACCACGACCTCCTCATAGTTTTGCACAGATTTATTTTTGTTTACATGAACATGTGTGAACAGGATACTACTGCTGTTATTTTGCAAAGGGGAGAAAAACAGAGTTTAACAATTCCTCAGATGAACAAATGAAACATCAAATTAGTTCGCCTGAGGGCCCGATTTTTTGTACTTCTACATTATAACTAGTTATTGAACTAGGTGCACGATCTGAAAGCCATTTGTGGGGAGAAAGAATTCATTGCTGTCCCCCCATCAATAATCCTTGGCAGTGAACTATTGGAATCAGTCAAACGCGAGGGGTGAAACGCAGGTCAGGCTGTCTAACTAATATTAAAATGCGTGCGCCGGAGCGAGCGAGAGGGAGTATGTGGTGTGCGTGCAGCTCCTTCACACTGACTGCTTGCACAACAAACTACATGCATTTAGATGAGCATATGACAAAGTCAAATTAACATGGGTTTGTTTTTTTGTGACAATGTACGTTTGTTCACTGTTATATGGCTACAAATTATTTGCTCTTCAATACAAGCAATCTATGAAATTGATACACACTCGGAGAAATATGTAGATTGAGATCATTTCTGACAGTGTTTGAAGCCCCTTGTGCATTTCCACATGTAATCAATTCCATTGATTCACAATCTGAGCATGTTTGCTGTTTTTAATAACCCCGAAACAGGTCACATGTCTGATATCGCATTTTTCATCCGAGGCTTTTCTCATTAGCTTCCAGAGTGGCAGGAAGAAAGGTTACCGAGCGGTCAGTATGGTAATGGCAAGCAGAAGGAATGGTTGGGAACAATGGAAACTTATTTTTCATCTGTGCTGTCACGCCGTCCCTTTGTATCCGCCGTGTTTGTGACTGAATATTCATATATAGGAGCTACCTCAAAGACAGAGGTTGAACGTTAAGAAAAGAGACCCCCTTGTCCCTTTTGCACACGACGCGCTTGTGTGTGCGTGTGCAGGCATATGCGTTTTTTTTGTATGGGGCAACACATGTTAAAATCACATTTCAAAGCACCATTCATATGATTTCTTTTATAAACAACATCTCATGTGCAGTATTTCTCGCAGCCTGAATATTTCTTCTTACACTACTTTTTTCAGACCTACCCTGCTTGCATAGAGGTTTGCCTGAGAGATCTCCTTTGCAGTGTGTACCCTAAAACACATTAGTTGTCTATATGTACCCTGTAGAACCGAATTTGTGTGAAGTACAAACAATCGCAAATACGTCTCTACAGGAATACATGGGCAACTGAAATACCACGCCATGGACTCTTCTGCTTCTGCTCCTCTTCACGTCTCTTCTGGCTTCCCTGCTATTGAAAACACAAGCATCATACAAATACCGCCTATATCCAGGCACTAGCAATGCAATAACATTGTCACAAAGTGTATTCATAGTCCAGACAGCCGTAGATTGCGTAGGTAGGCCACAGAGAGCAAACCCATGCAGTGTGCGGCTACTGTCTCAGACCCTGTAAAACACGTTAGGAACCAGGGGTCGTTTAAAAGTGACTGATTTACGGCTTTTATTGCTCTATAAAACGCCTCTAACATCCTCGCTAGGGGTAATAGAAATGTCGTGTGCATTCTGTACAAACAGGACAGCCAGAAATGTCATTTCACGTCTCGTTTTTAACCATATTATGAAGTTATTGCTGTGAAAATAGATACATCGGTTAACTGGCAATTTACAGCTTTTGACCCATAGAGTAGGCTAAGTGTTACTTCTGCTCAGGCTTAATGTTTCTCCAAGTGGGAGCCTATGACTTTCTTTATTATTATTATTATTATTATTATTATTATTATTATTATTATTATTATTATTATTATTATTATTATTATTGTTATTGTTATTATTACTATTATTATTATTATTATCATTATTATTTGTATTATTGTTATTATTATTAATGTAATAATAATAATAATTATTATTATCATTATTATCATGATCTTTTCCTTGTTATTTTCGCTGCTGACGCGCAAACATCCACAATAACATTTTTATAAAAAACACTACAAATATATTATAATCTAGATGTTGTTGGGAGGCTGCTAATCTATTAAAGGGAGTTAACCTTTCTCTCTTCAACCACAGCTGACTCTGAGATAAGAATGGGAAGCACAGCACATGAAAAGTTTACACAGCCAGGCAGGATCAGTTTACATTTACCAGCAGACCTCCAGTAATGTGGTCAGGGCTTCAGCCAGGAATAGCATGTAACATTTGAAGGCAGCAAGACTCAGATATTATGCTAATTTTCTAATCGTTTTTTTCCCTCTTTTTACAAAGTTGAAATAAGTAGGACTATAGTTTAAAGAAAACTACAGAGTAAACAAATCAGTTGCTTGTATTTCTGTATGGCATTTTTTCAAATATTTCCTCTCAGCACTTTCTTTCAGATAATATGGGTTGTAGCAGGTCCACACACAGCCAGCTGAATTACATTGTAGCCACATGTTTTTATTGTAGGCCATAACAAAGGTCAAACAAGTCTTGCTAGTAAAAGGTAAGGACATTCCAATGTTGTTAAAACAGAAGGCCAGGAGAAGATGAACATAATAAAGACAAGAGCAGCACTTTTGTTAGAAAAAGCCTCAGAATTTAAATGATTTGTGATGGTGTTTGGTATTTTTTCATATGTATCTTTAAGCAGGACTTGCTTTATGTGGTGAGCTCTTTAGTTAAAAGTGAGGGAGTTCAACGGCTTTAACCGGTCTGCAGCGACCACATTTAATTTCTCTGTGACACAATACATAAGACTCCCTTGCAGTTAAATCAGCAGATATATATGTTTGAGACTCTCTATTATGATATTGGTTCTGAGACACCCTGTGTTCCCATGCTGGCTGGTCTGTGACATCATGATGCTCTGAACAGTTGTCAGGTTTGTGACACTGCAGTGGGGCTGCTGTTTTATGAACGGTGTGATTTCAAAGCATATAGAGTAAGTTTGGCCTGTTGGCTGATCCACTGGAGTCTGATGTTATAATTGTATTTTGAGCTTTTCTACACTGTTTTGATGGTGTCATCACAATTACCATATTCATATTTAAATGTAATTATTCAAAGCTTTTGTTTAATAATTGTTGTATCTTACAGAATAACAATATCATTAAAAGTTAAAGGAGCATCTTACACTTTGGCTTTTCTTCTTTTTCTACTTTTATCCTTTTATAGAACATGGCTTTTCTTAATTCTTATCACCTTATTTGTTTTTTTGTAAATCAGCCAACCCCTTTGGTTCCAGCTGATGTATGCTGCTTTGACATTCAAAGCAGCTATACTGAAAGTACATGCCTGACACTTTCAATCAGGCACATTTTTTTTGTTATTCTCACCAAATTCCAATTAAAAGTTGAAGGCTGAGACTTTTAATTGATAGCCTGGGAAGAAAATTGATCATTTCAAAATAGACAAATCTCTCATAATTGAATGAAGGCTTTTGTTTAAGCAGCCTGACTCTTCCTGTCCACCTTTTTACAACATTATTAATTACCAGCCCTACTTTCAAAAAATCAACCACACCTCCATGAGCATCTCAACACTCCAGTCTTTTATGACATTTAGATTCACTATTCAATATTAGTGCTGAAATGCTTATATAATCTTACAAAACTGATGCAGCTGTAATGCTATGTGTATTAATGGACCGTAATATGTTTCACAGCTGAAGAGCTGTTGGTAAAGCATGTGCCTTCATTAATTAGAAGATAACCTTTATATAAGGAGCAGGCTAACAACATGATTGGTTTGCTATTGTTGTGCCTTATCCTTGGCGGATCACCCATTCTACCTTTGAATAATTGAGACCAGTAGATGTTGCCTATTTTATTTGTTCCTTGGTCAGCAAATAGCGACTAGTTTTGTCCCCAAGATCAATTGCCTTGGTAAGACAACGAGAGAGAGGAGGGAGTGAGTGAGATAGAGAGAGAGGGAAAAAGAGAGAGATGTGTTCCCACAATGGCGACTGTAGGTATGCTAAATACCTCTGGTTCCTTATCCGGGAACTACCTCTTACTCTGCTATTGGGCCATTGGGTCACGTGGTAAAAGTAACTTTACAGGGCTGCTCGCAAGTAGGAGGGCTTTATGGAGCAGAAAAACGACAAAGCTAGAAAAATTATTTTCCACTCTAGAAATTAATGATCATGAGCTCGTATTTGATGGAGTCTAACTACATTGATCCGAAATTTCCTCCATGCGAGGAATATTCGCAAAATAACTACATCCCTGAGCATAGTCCAGAATATTACAGCCGCGCAAGGGAGTCTGGCTTCCAGCATCACCATCAGGAGTTATATCCTCCGCGGGCGAGCTACCAGGACCGCCAGTTTAACTGTGCAAGCATCCCTGAACCTGACTCGCCAAGGGGACATGGAGTACCCCAATCTGCGCACCTGGTGGTAGGGAAAGGGCAACCTGCTTCCTGTGAAACCCCACAGTTGTCCATGTCCCCCGCCACCCCACCGGCCGCAACCTCCGCCTGCAACCAAGCTACCCCGGAGCATCCAAACAGCACAGCCTCCTCCAAGCAGCCCGTGGTGTACCCATGGATGAAGAAAATTCACGCCAGCAATGGTAGGCAACTTGTGTGTTTATGTTCCCTGCACTCCTCATGCTCCTCTCTCCCTTTCCCTCCCTTTATCAGTCCCTCTGACTCCCATCTCGTTGCCAGCCCCTGCTCCGATAGCAGGGAAGCCTTTGAAATGGCACAATTGAGGCGGATTTACGACTCGGCATTGGTAATTACACCCACCATAAATTTTATAGCCGAGGTATACTCAGGGCAGCCGTATCACCATGTGGCTTCTGCTGTTATGTATTGCGCGATAGAGAGAGGGGGAGAAATGAATAAGAAAAAAATTGAGCTTTGTAATCTTGCATTAATAATTTAGCTCATAGTTGGATGTGAGTGTCCTCTCATTACCCTGAGAAGTTCTTAACTTCCCATTTAAATTTCTCAAACAGCTAAACATTCATATCCAATAAATCTTTCTAGCCATATCTCAGTTCAGGCCATTCTTGTTTACCCCTCCTTTCCTCCCTTCTCTGTCTTCCTTTCTCTCCACTTATCCTTTTTCCAGTTTCGGGTTACAATGGGACGGAGACCAAGCGGTCTAGGACAGCATACACCCGGCAGCAAGTCTTAGAATTGGAGAAGGAATTCCACTATAACCGATATTTAACTCGGAGGAGGCGCATCGAGATCGCCCACACCCTGGTTCTCTCCGAGCGACAGATTAAAATCTGGTTTCAAAACCGCAGGATGAAATGGAAAAAGGACCACAGGCTCCCCAACACCAAAGTGAGATCCTCTTCCTCCTCCTCTGGGTCCAACACAAGCTCAGCAGCCGGCGCTGTTGCCGCTGCCTCGGCCACTAACACTGGGGCCCCCGACGAACTCTCCGGAGCACAGCAAGGCGAGGATATTACCAGGTTATAAAACCAAGAAGATCGGGGGTAGAAAAAGAACTGGTTATTTATAGAACAATTATATATTTTGTTTTCGTAGCTATCTTGTGCGGTTTCCTTTAAGTCCACAGTTATATAAAATGCATGTTATATAGCATGGATTACTGCGAATACCGATGAATTATTTTTACGTGACACAGGGTTTAATTTATTTGAAGCTGAATTAAAATGATGTTTTTTATTAAAAAATGTTTTGAATGAAGGATGAAAAAGTAGAAAAAAATATACATTTTATCAAAATGTTATTGTGGGCCATTGTTTTGCCCTGCTGCCCAATGTGAAATGCACAATCTATTTATTTCAAACAACACTGGAAGGAAATCAATATAATAATAGTTATTTTTGGTATAAAAAAGCTGGAACACACCATTGATCTTGAACTTGTATGTTTTGGATAAAACCAATGTGTGAATTACCTCGTGTATTTCAGAAACAGGATTTTGATTTACAATTTAATTTTGTGGTGTTGATGTTGTGTTTATTAGACCGTTAAAAAGCAGATTATTGTGAAATGCAATAAACGGAGTATAGTGTACTTGTGATAATCATATTGGTCAATAAAACAGTGAGTGTCTTCTAGTTTTAAATACGTTTGGTCGAACTTCATTTTAGGCAAGATGAGGTCTGCTATTGTTTTGGATTTTCTTTTTGTTGGATTGCCCTAAAAAATGTACAGATGTGTGAATACTTGAACATTTCATGAGGGTAACAAGAATCACTGTGTTTTCAAACTGTGTTTGTAAATCCTGCAGCTCATTCTTGCGTCTTTGAATTATCAATGTGTACAGGCAGTGTGTGTGTGTGTGTGTGTGTGTGTGTGTGTGTGTGTGTGTGTGTGTGTGTGTGTGTGTGTGTGTGTGTGTGCGTGCGTGCGTGTGTGTGTGTGTGTGTGAGTGAGAGAGAGATAGAGTGTGTGTATGTATGTGAGTGTGCGTGTGTATTTTAAAGCCTAAGTTATAATGGACTGAAGTTGTTTCTAAAAAGTGAAATAGTTTTTGCTGTGCATTATGTGCAACCTCATCAGTCTGAAGGGCATTCAATTAGCTCCATGGAGAAGCACTGAGGCCCTCTGCACTGCCTCTGCACCCTTCGTTCTGACTTGAACACAAAGCTGCATGCGTTTAATTTATAGGACATTTGTTAGAAATTATTGTTGTGAAAATATTCTTATTCATTTTGTTACATGAGTAGCTTCCCAGCTTTTCTATAGTTCACTGCTTCATGCGGCTGAGTTTTCAAATGTAAAGAAATAAAAGAAATACAAAAGAAAAGTCGTGCAGATAGACTCAATGTAATGCGTCATGTGGTGTTGGGAGTAAACTGGCTGACCTTTGTTATCAGGCTCTGTAGCATTGCCTTGGCCAAAAGAAAGGAATGCTGATGTTTATTTGTATGTTCACTCGTTGACTTGTGCTTGTGTAAACTCTGTAACATATTCTCCTGTCTCCCCTGTGGGCACTTTGCCTCCAGAGTGTGCAGCAGCTCGCGAGAATTCATAAAAACTACAATAAAAAAAAAACACGAAGCGTCTCACTGCAACGTCATCGTCTAGGAGGACCAAAACACTGCAGAACTGTTTACGACTGCTGGACTCATACAACATTTTGACGAAATACTTCTTAATCTGAACTCCTCCACTAAATTGTCTTGAGATGTTATTTTTCTCACAGAGATGCATTCATTTTTTGTCGTTCTTTCTGGACAGAAGGTTTTCCGTTTTAACATGACTAAACCCAAAGACACGCAAGAATTTGATAAATTATTGAATTGTGACATGAATAGGGCTTATAAAATGCCTCTCGTAGTGGGGGGCAAAGGAGCACAAAGGGAAGAGGTATTCTCCATCATCAATCTTTCACTACAGAGCTTTGTGTTATTTTGCAAAACAGCTCCGACAGCAGCAAGTTTTGAGTTTACCAAATATTATGTACACGGCCTTATCCTTGAACATTATTCCCAAACGTGAGAGTTTAAATTGATTTTGAAATAAAGCACATTAAGTGGACCAGAGCAGTTAACATCTGCTTTCTGGACGTGTCTTTTGGAAAGGCACTAGAATGGTGGTGAGACGGCTCTGAGAAATGAATATAGAAGCCTTTATGTTGCTGGACAGATTAGAGAAATTAATGTTCTCGCCAGAGTCGCAGCATCCCTCCAACCCCTTATAGGCCCTGTCGCCTCCATGTCGCGAAGCTGAAAAGGTACTTTATTAAAGTTAGGAGGCGAAGTGGGAGAAGGCCGAGTTCACTTCGAGGACACATTTTCTGTCCCATTAGGCTCATCTCAGTCTGGATGGTCGACCTCTCCCACCCTGTGACCTGACTCCCTCTCTATACGTGTACCTTCTGTGAGCACCCTAACTGGTCCCCCTTGGCCTCGGTTTTCTTTGTGGACTTTCTGCATGGTGCCTTTAGGGAGGCCTGCGGTGGGGCATCACTGAAAGTGTTGCTCCCTTTGTTAGTCAGAGTGGCCCGGGACAGTGTTAAACTCTCGGACAAGTCCTCTTCTCTGCATCCAACAGACGGGCTTCCAAACATGCACCTTCTTTGGAGCATCTGAAACCGAGCTGGCAACCGTGTGGGCTGACTTTCACCGAGTTGATGCAGTGACCACAGAAGTGTACATGCAATCAGATTTGTGTGTTTGGTACCTTAAAACAAATAATAATAACAATAATAATAAAAAAAAATAGCATTTTTTAAGTCATACACTCATTTTAAACTGATAAATTACAATTTCAGTGAAATTAGCACAAAGCTTTTTTTAAAAAGTCCTATTTTCAAGGGATTAATTAAATCCCCCAAAGTCTCCAAAAACATTAGGCCGTTAAAAATAGTCACTTGACTTCTGTGTGGTTTAAGAGAATAACTGGCCTCAGGTCAGTACTTCCTCTCAAAAGCAAGCTGCCAATTATAGCCACGTCTTTCTGACAGTACTGGGACAGTTGGTCATTGTGATTAGTTTATGGACAGGGACCTTCAACTCTCTGTAGTTACTAAAAACCTTGCAAACTTTCTACTGACACCCCACTCTTCAGCCAAGGTTTCATTTTTAATCCAAATGCACATTTTTACGCACATGAGATAGAAATACACTTATGAGCCCATGCAAGTTTTCTTCTACGCTTCAACAGTATCATTGTTTGTAATAAAAACTGAATATATATGCTACTGTCTTTAGATAAGAAACTATGTTTACTGTTTTCGCAAGCAAACTTAAATATTCTTATTTTGATTATTTGAAAACGTTTGGTCACTTCTGTGGCCATGATAATAATATTCAACGCTGAGAGAAAAATATTCGACAACATGCCTTTTAAGATAAACAGCTGTCACTGAAACCTAAACAACTCGTCTGATAGTATAGTGATTGTTCAACTTCCCTTGGGTAGACACATTTAAAATTGCACTCTAAATACGGACCGGATGTAGTTTTATTTTGTTTAAAACATTTTTTTTGTAAAGTAAAAATATTAGGCATACTTTGCCGGTATTATGTTTTTTCTTTTCCATGCCAAGGAAAATTATTTACTTAACACGGCTTTATAAGGCATTGTTTGGTTTACGATAATAAACAGAAAGTGTGATTTCAAGCTATTATTTAAACAAAAGCTCGTGTCGTTTGTCAGACATAAATCAGGATTGTTTCGCTTTATGATACTAAACTTTGAGATTATGTGCTGTTAGTTAAACTCAATATTTGCACAGATATGCGTCACCATGATAGAAAGTGCACACCATATGATTTAAGTAAGCAAATAATACCTTAACTCATTATCGTCAAAGTTATTCTAACCTATCAGGAGATCAACACAACAAAATTAACAACATAGTATCTATTTAAACTAACAGTTTACAATAGTTGTTTTATTTCTAGTTTTGTCCTGTAGCTTTGAAGCCGCTTTCACTCGGTGTAATCTGTAAACATTGAGTGGCTGTAGTTGTTCTTAACCTCAGCACCGGAATATTGTGTAGTCTTTATATGTTTGAAATTCAGTGTTTAAATTCCTCAACACTTACTATTTTCTGACTGGAGAGAGACTGTCGAATCACACATGATTTTCAGCTCACATTGCACCGCTGCAGGCTTTAAGTGATTTATGAGAACCTCAGACGAGGACTCTCTCTTGGAAGATATACAAACTTTACACAAACAGCAATCGAAATGTTTGAACAAGAGGCGAATATGACACCAATATGATAAGATGTTGTGTCGTTGGTGTGGTTTATTACCTGTTTATTATTGTCAGAGTACAAATGTGTTTTTTTTTCTCCACTCGTCTCAGGTGAGTGTCTTCTTCAGCCACTCTGGTGTGTGATGAAAGGTCCGGGGCCAGTGCATTGTTAGTGTGTAGTGTGTTTAAACGGCAGCCATGGCAGTTGCATAAAGGCTGAGAGTTGAAACGGGGGTCACGCTGCTATTTTCCAGGGACAGAGAGGCTCTCTCGCATTGACCAGCAGTGGGTGTGTCATAAATCCGTAAATCTCTCTCCCATCCCATCCGTTCACTCAAGAGAGCAGATGCACCATGTCTTTCTTTTTCTTTTTTTCTTTTTTGCGTCTGTGTGTGGGGGTGTGTGTGTGTGGTTTAGTGTGTGTTTAATGCATTTACATAAAACTAGATTTTAAAACTCCATCAAACATGTTACAATGATTTGCTGTCAGAGCTGGCAAACATTTCAAGCAGGGGGACAACAAAGCAGCTGGGATCAACACCCTGATATCCCACTGTACACTCCAACATCACATCATATAGGAAATGATGGAATGTGTAAACTTGCCAGTAATACTTTATGTCATCATAACGCCTCTGAGAAATGTGTCATTAGCCTATTTGCTGCATCGTTGAAGACCTTAGAAATTAAAGTCATTTCCCCTCAGTTCAAGGTGTCACTGGGGGCCAACTTTTCATTAGCAAAAATGATCTGAATATGGGATCCTGAGACTATAGATCCACAATTATAAGCTAAGTGAAAATGCTCTTTTTATTCGATCTGCTCTCTCAAATGATTCTCTTGTGCATTTGTGTGACCACCAGTTGCATTTCTACAACAGTCTTCTCATACTTACACTCTGAAGACAGATGCTGCAGCATTTGTATTTAATTCGAACATATAGTTAAATATTGTTGAATAGCATGCTATACTGATAATTCAATGTTAAAGGCAAAGTGCATCATCTGAATGTAAACACAGAAGGGAAACTCCCTTCCATTTCTTTAAACACAATCTGCCTTCCCACACATAATGATACCTTTTGATAAAATGATTGCTAAATTCAAGATATTAATATTAATATTTAACATTAAAGGTTTCTAGGAAGACAGATAGCATGTTTTTATGATAAGATTTCATATGAAAAATATATATAACATATTTGTTTTTATGCTGCAGCATTATTTCATTCGAAACATTTAAATATTCAGAATAAAACATATTTCCCCTGAGTGAAAAAAAATCAAAATGTGACACTTTCAGATATTCCCTGGTCCAGAGCTGCAGGATTTATGCTGTGTGCACTCTGCAGAGACAAGCCAGGATTTACAGTGAGCTGTGCTTTAAACAGGCCCAAATTAATACTCTATGTTAATGCACATGCTAATGCAGGGTCAGGACTTGTTTGGGAAATTGACAATGTGTGTCTTTTCCTCACGTATGAAGTGCAGTCTGCAAACTCTAGTCCTTTCATTTCACTCTGCATTGTTTACAGCAATATAGGGCACCGGGCTCATAAATCTTCTCCTTGCTCTGCCAAGACAGCGCCATTTGTATGCACCGTTTTAACCGACAGCATCCTCTGCCCATTAACGTCTTCTCCCCTTCTCTCTCTCAGTCTCCTTTTATCTGCCCAGCTCTATCCCCTGGAAATACATTAACTGATCATCCGTGCGATTCTTAAGCTCTGAAAAACAATTATGTTTTTTGAGTGTAAGGAATATATAATTTACGAGTGGAAAATGCAAGATGGTGTTGCATTGCACAGATTCCCCCTGCGGTTGCATATACTCCCCTATACCTCAGTACCGTTTCCCCTGTTAGTTATTGGTATGGAAAATAAAAGTTTATCGACGATTTCCTCGGTTGTTTGTGTCAGCAGGCGAGAGAGCGCAGAAGGTAAGGAGGAATTGTAAAAGGGTTGACACCCAGAGCGACCGGCGCGCTTTTGTGTGAGAGAGAAAAATGATTTATTGCCACCGAGGCGGTTCAAACAGAGTTCACGGAGAATTGTGGTGGAGGCGCGGAGGAGCTAAATTATGGTCTTGCTGAGCTAGTATATCATAGATCCTATCTCCAATTCAGAGAGTGTGTTCAAGGGTGTGAGGTAAGAAAAACAAAACGACTTTAATTACTTTCCTCCATTTCTGTCACCGCTGACTTACGGCCTGATTCGCCTGTTGTTGTAAATAATAATAATAATAATAATAATAATAATAATAATAATTGTTATTGTATTTTTTATTGGGGGGTGTTAAAACAAGACACAAGAAGATGCCATTATATTTAAATTTATTTTAGCTCTAATGGCCTACATTCATCCAATAACAAGATTAACAGAAGAGACATTTAGCACTTCACTGCTATTTTAATGGACAGTCTTAAAAAATAAAACCTGTTTTTATTTCCAAATTAAAACCAAGTCTCCAAGCTAGCCTTTTTATGTTTAAACTTTAATTATGATCAACAATAACATCATGTAGCAGTCATTTTAATGTCGATGGTTACCAATACTACGCCAAAGTGTGGGACCATGTTTGTGGTATTGTGCCCTTGATCCAAACTGAACTGAAAGGAAATACAAATAAAAAATATTTCATTTATTTAAAAACAAATCCAAGGACGTGACTCCACTGTGGAGGTGTTCAGGTAAAACCTCAGTGACGGTGGCAGCAGGGGTGAAACGAAAAAGGGGGAAGGCTCCTTTTCTTCCAAGCTATGCAACCCTGAGTGCATAATCCATCACGCAGAGAGACATCTAAAGAGGGTTTTCTCGACAGCTTTGTTGTAGAGAATCACCAAATGGAACTTATATCCAAAGCCTGCTTTAACTAAGATTAATACGCACAAAATATACAGAGTCCTCTAGTTTTGGAAGATACTTTTGGGTGCATAATTTAAAAAAATGTGATGGCTTCATTATTCTAGTTATTTATCCACTTTGCATACATTGTACTGTGAAAATTAAGTAATTATGTTTTATGAGATTTTTTTTCAAAGTGTAACTCAGTTAGGCCACACTTGATGTAGTATTTAGCCAACATAATTTCCCCCTACAAATATTTATTATGGGTTTTTTAAATGAAGTTACAAAAATCCCATTTGATTTAAGTGGTTTGAACCTTTATAAATATATTCCCAAATTCCTGTTGTTGTGTGCTCTGTGTGGTGAGCGTAAACAGGCGCACATACGGGCGCTGCTGAACATCTCCCTCTGCTCTTTTGTCCACCAGCCGTGCAGCAAGCGGGATGTTTACCATCCAAAACGTCCGCAGTGTTTGACTGTTGCCTCACAGAGCCATAGACAGGGACACTTGATACTGTACAGTGATGCCTGATTAATGCAAATGCGATGAAAAAAGAAATCTCTAATGATTGCCTCCTTTGTCTTTGTGTGGCAATGACTGTCAAGCCTTTGTTTGACCACTCCCCGTGAATCCTATTAAGCCAAAGCTACACTTCCACTCAGACAGTTATAAGCATTGTTATTGAAAGAAAATAAAAAGAATCCCGCCGAATTTTAAAAACTGGGCTGTTAAATGAGATGCAAACTAAATTATCCATTATAATCGCAAAGATTTATTTTACAGGCAAAAAGGAGGCTTATTGCAGAGTGCCCATTTACAGAGCAGCTAAGAAAATACGGGAATAAATATATGATTTATCATTAGAGTTAATTGGTCAAAAATAAACCTGGAACACGATGTATTTGAAACCCATTTTAAATCTGAAAAAATACGGCAGAATAATGAGTTGTAGTGGATAATGTGTTAGTATCCAGTATATTACTCGAGCTCCTAGCAGCCTACTATAGCAGGAAGTCGTCGCCTTGATAAAACCTACCACAAAAACTTCAGGATGTGCAGCTGCAAGCGATGGCTCCTTGTAAAAAAAATGCGTCCTGTCAAAAGATTTAGAATGTTACAAGAAACTAACCCTGTTTGTAATGAGGCGATTCTCACCACACATGGTAATCTCTGTCTCCCCCCTCTGCCATTTTTCTTTCTCCGTATAAACAATTCTTCCTCTTTCTCTCTCTCACACGGATTACAGTTGTTGGCCTCTACTCATATTCTGTTTTTTTCCCTCCCTAGGTAAAGAAATGCAGGCTGTTCAAAGCAATGTTGTCTGAAGAAATATCGCAAAAGCTTCTTTCGGCGCCCCAACTTGCCAGCGGAATACTTTTGAAGTCCAGAGCTCTGCCATTGGAGGACGGTCACACGTGACTATACGGCACCCTTCTGGTAAATATTATTCAAATATTCCACATGGTTACTCCAAGTGCTCATCCCTGCATGGGCTTAGACATTCATGTTAATTGTGATCTGATATTAGACAGACAGAAGTCCAAGTCTTTAGTACTGTTGAGGGATTTATTTGAGACAGTTTGATGAGCTGGGTCCATGATGGACCCCCAACCGTCTGCCCTCCCACTGCAGCTGCATGGCAACAGTTTTGCTATGAGCTCTGGACAAGTGCCAACACTAAGTGCTGGATACAATGAAGGAGGAGGAGGCCAAGATGCTGGTCTTCATCAGCAAACCATGACCTCCTCTGCTCGTGTCAGTTGCAGGTTGAACCCAGGTGAACAGTTTGGGTGCCCACTGGAGCCTCTGGTTCACTGCCATGCCAAGGGCAGGCTTGACATGAAGAGCAGGAGCTGCAGTTTACTCACCATCTGCCGCTCAGGAGTTATCTTTCCCTGGATGAATCAACGGACAGCTGACTCTGAACAATCTGGTAACTCTGCTTTCCTTTATTGTCATTTACTTTTTAAAGCTTTAAAGCTATACGTGAGTCTACATAATCTTCATTAGATGCTCTGATGGGGTGAATCCATACATTTAAATTTAATGAGCATTTCCATCATTTGTTCATTGAGTGCATAACTGATATCTGACCTTAGCTGTTATAGACTCTTTGTTGCACAAAGACACATGCTGAAACTACACAGTCAGCTCCTGGTTGTTAAAACTTTCTACTAACACATTTACACACAGAGCAAGCCAAAGTCTTACTTCTCATGTTTTTTTATATCATGCACACAAACACATTTATCAGATGTAAAGGCTCTTTCTTCCCTATTAAGTTAAATACATCTATAAGTGTTTATGTTACAGCAGTTTTAAATATATATCAGTCTTACTCACATTGTTTGTACTTCCGGGTTGGTATAGGCAAAGTAATAAGCTGCAGTAAAGAATTATTGTTAAATAAAACTATAAACCTATATCTGCAGATACCCTAATTCTATTATGTTGCGTCTTGTAAAAATCTAAAATGTGTTTATTTTGAGTGTAAAATGTCAGTTATTTTTACGACAAATGGTTATAATTACAAAAATAGATTTAAATGGATAAAATAAAACTGTATATGATTCCCCAATATGCTTTTTTCAGAGAAATATATAAACATCATTAGCTAGCATACAACCAGGAAGCTACAGATTCCCTGTCTGGTGATAAGGAGAGCACTTTACACTCTAAGGTCACCACAGGCCTTATTAAGTTTCCATTAACCCCAATGTGTTATGTTGTATCAACAGGACCCTGGTATCGCTCATATACATGTCAAATAAAATCTCTAATTGTGGTTATTTTCAGTGGTGGTCCCAAGGTACCTTTTAACTGACTGAGATGGGGATTTGACAGGTCTGCTTCCGTGTGTAGCTGTGATTAATGTGGCCTGTCAGGCAGCCGTAGTGGCATCAGATGTTTCCCCCAGACTGTTTCTTCGGGAGGTAACTTTCCCTGAACACATGACACAGTAGACAGCCAGTCTTGTATAGCGTCTCAAGCATGACTGAATACACAGGAAGAGCTGAGGGCCCTACTTTGTCCCAGGTTGATTGGCTGAGGATTAACGTGGGCCTTACTGGCACTTGAAGTCCTTCTGTGGAGGTTGATAGACTTGTTAGAAATGTGGCTTTTAACACCCTCTCTTCTTTATGTGCTCCCTCCTGCATCAGTCAGTGGCAATGTGGCGGTGGGTCTGACAGGCGGAGGAAGGCTGGGTGCCAGGAGGGAAAGAACGGCGTTCACCAACAGCCAGCTGCTGGAGCTGGAGAAGGAGTTCCACTTCAGTCCCTACCTGTGTCGTCCTCGGAGGCTGGAGATGGCCGCCGGGCTGCAGCTCACCGATCGGCAAGTCAAGATCTGGTTTCAGAACCGCAGGATGAGGTACAAGAAGGAGCACAAGGATGGAGAGGTGACATGTTCCTCACAGGGGTCTCCCTGCAAGCCTTCCTTCAGCTCGAGCTCAGGTGGGGATCACTTGGGGTTTCCGGGTGCATGTGTTGTAAGAACTTCCTCCTCCTCAGACCTGCACTTCATGGATCACGCTCCTACGTCCTCCTCTCTTTATGGCCCTTACAGTGAGGTCGGCAGTGGTCAGTGTGTTCAACCTGCATACCTGTCCCATCAATGCGGCATACTTCCATCTGTTGCAAATGGTCCACCTCCTTCCTGTACAGCCGTAGATAGTCATCACTATGCTGGCATTTTAAACTGGCCCTAGGGCCCCATAATGGCCATCCCTCCTGTGCTCATCCAAATCTCAATGATATATCCACTTTCACTTACTTATGAAAGACTGCGGTATGTCTTATTAGCATCCCCGGGTTGAAATCCCCTTAACGTTCGCCATTCATGAAACATTTTAATTAAACTATGAACATATCTTAATTAAAGCAGAGCTACAGTGATATCATTTGTGTTTCTCAGGCGTGGAAGACTGCAGGTTAAACTTGCTGCTCGTATTGTACGTACACTGCATGAACAAGACATTCAAGCTATTTCAAATGACACCCTTTGCTGTAATTTTGTCATTGTTTCATTTATATTGTTGTTGCATGTTAAACGCATGTGTGAATCATATTAACAGTATTTTTTTTCTATTTCCTTCTGTTGTCAGAGAATAGCTAAGTGGTTGTCATATTTTCTAAGTGTCACATTTGGCCCCTGTTTTATTATCTACTGTTAATAGCAGGTAATTTGTGTAAAATGTTTTAACTGTGATAAAATGTTCACATCGACCAATGTTATATTTTTGTTAAAGTCATTAAAGGATACAGCAAGTCTTTGATACAGCTCTTGATTAATTGAGATGTCATATAGTGTACATGCTTAATAAATGCATTTGGGAAAACTGTAGCTCTTGTGCAATGCTTACCCTATTCATCGCTGATTAGAGTTACATTTTTCCAGCAGTATTTCATGATTAAGGATTCCTGGACTACATCCCAAAGGGGGGAAAAAAATCGGAAAGTAATCAAATAAAGGCATGCTTTAGATTCATTGAAAACTCTACAGTATTGTGCATTCAAGTTGCACAATCTTGCCACATAAGCCTCTTCCTCGCTCCTGCCTCCGAGTTCCCCACCATTAATCACTGAGACAAGGCAGTCTTTCCAGCACTCCAACCACAAGTCTGAACCCACTGGGCACCATGACAAGATCTGTTGCCTCCTCCTTCCCAACGCTTGCCTTTTCAATAGCCAAATTGTAGTGCTGCAAGTCGGGGCTGGCCTCCCTCTCAGGGGCCATGTTAGTTGTGTAGCTTAGACGTCCTTCCAGCAGCCCATAGGCCACAACAGACCAATAAGGTTCAATCACTAATGACAACATATTATCTTAAAGAATAATCAGACGTTGTTTTTTAACAACATCCACTGTGCCGTTGAGACAAGGGGATTCTCACATGAAAATGATGTCACAGAGACATTTTTTTTTCTTGCTTTATCTGACTTCATGATTTCCACTCGGCTAAATTACTCACACAGGGAATTGTGCGTTCATTTGACAGAAGTAGGCCACAGGTTCTCTTGGGACTCGACAGCTTTACACGTCAAACACAGACAACAACTTTCATGATGGAGTGAAACTCCTCTTACACTTGATAATGTGAGCAGGAGTGTTAATACTCCTAACACAACATCACACATTATTTGGACATGCTGGCACTTTTATATCAGTGGCTTCACAGTGAATGAGCTGTCACAGAGAACTACTGACAGCAATGAAATGAGAAAGATGATCCCCGGGTGGTCCTGGATAGAATTACCTCTCGCTCCTAATTCATTAGCTAATCAGCCCGTGGATCAGCTGTCATTTTGGTAAATATTTGACACCATTTCAGACTTACTCAGTAGGTATCATGGGAGCTATACATTGCTATGACTCTATAAAATGAGGTCTACACTTTAACTGTATCAGAGAGATGGTGACGTAATTTTAGAGAAAAGTAATAAAGGCAAGAGAAATAGACGAAGAAAAAGTTCTCCCTTTTAAATAAGTCGCCTACAGAGAGAGAGAGAGAGAGAGAGAGAGAGAGAGAGAGAGAGGGAGAGAGGAGGGGAAATTGTGAAGAAGGAGAAGCACACAGTGTTGGATTCCTGAGATTCTTGCATATGCCGGGTGATTTATGGTGTTAATGGAGCCAAGGCTCAATAGGAACTTTACCTCTGGTTCCTCACCACATTCTCTTTCCAAACCTTGAAGCCAGAAGGATCCATGCACTGAAGTGCAGTAATTCAGTGGACGGGGTCAAGGGGGATCCCCAAGGGTCAAGGAAAGCACCCCCCCCCCCCCCAAGGGCCCCAGTGCTAGGGGGAACAGTCTACTTCCATTTGAACATTAAGTTAGCCAGTTGTTCTCACATTGGCTCGCTCCCACTTAGCAACTAAACTCATTATTTCCTTTTTGCTCACTTGACCCCAGTGTGATGACATCTGTTTTCATGAGGGCAGATCTTGAAAGCCAAAAATCCTTGTTATTTTGTTCGAAAAATTCTGGGCTTTGATCAGACTGGAGCATTGCATTAAGAGGTTCTTTGAAGTGATAAATTATGCCAGTCGTGGTGCCATGAAACCAGCTTTGGTTACGGTCCATCATTAATTTCAAGATTTTGCGTGATGTCCTTTACAGTGACTGATGTACCACTGTCCAATCTGCAGCTGTTGTGAAACTGATTTTGTGGTAAGACTTGAAACATGTTCTATGCATCAAGACTCTCTTAAGCTGCCATGAAAAGAAAACGGCTGCGTCTTTAACATAGGCGTGCAGCTTTAAGTATCTCTCAAAGCATTTGCCCCTGTGCTAAACAAATGTAAAGCCTGAAAACTATAACCATCACAGTATAAGCTGCTGGTGTCAACTGCAGTCTAATGTTATGATGTAGGTATTCCAACCTTTATTTGGAGATCACTATTAGAGGAAAAACATTATAATAATAATAAATGCAAATCATCTATGTGTGTGTTTGCTCTGCCTGTTTATTCTCTCATAGACTGTTGAGCTGAGTCCCCAAAGATTCATCCATGCAACATTCACACCTCTTTCTCTCATCACTTGAACAGTACTTTGGGAATGCTTTAGTCTCTGTTTTTATTTGTATATCTTCATCATTACAGTCCCAACATGCGTTTATTCGCGTCACTAATTAATGCCAGGATTTACACATTTCTAAAGCATTTTGAACGCACTGCTGTTTCCACTTGTCTGGGGGGACGCAATGAGCAACATACCACATTGACCCAACGTTTGCTAAAGAAAAAGCTGCTGAATCACTTACAGTAACATTCAATGTGATTTATTTATAAGAAAATAGTTGACAGAGAAAATCAACTAATGCAGAAATCGAAGCAAAAAAAACATCAGAGTTTTTCAACAATGGCAACACCAGAAACAGACAGCTCAGTGCAATGGGTCTGGGGGATAGACTGGTATTCAGCTTCACTGATTGTTGAATAAACTTCAGGTCATCTGGGCGCTGAGAGAGGGCCGAGGCTCCTGAAACACAGAGAGAAAACACATTCAGAACAGGATATAAGGTTGAGATAGCCCATGGCAAACAATACCAAGAGAATCAATTTGACTGAACATTTATCACTAAATAATGATTTATTCTCTCAATATATCACCGAATATGTACAAACATATAACATGCACAAATGTTAAAATGAAAACACTGAATTCCTACTTTTACATCTCATTTCAGCCTAAAATATTATATAGAAAGCAGCAAATTAATAAAAACAATTCAACAGTTTAGTCCTGAAGATTGTAATAATTAAATATTCAACAATTTAAGATTATTTGAGGTTAAGGTTTAATATAATATTGTATGTTTTTTGTATTTGTGGTCATTTACATCGTATAAAATGCGATATGGTATTTTCTACAAGGTACTCTAAAAAGATGCGGGTACTGTAGTCTTGTATCAATAATTCATGGTGATTTATAGATGACCGATGAAGGGACTTTATATATACAAACCAGAATTGTAAAATAACACAGACACTATCCTTACAAAGAAAAGTTTGATGAAAGAACTAACTGCTAGCTCTCACTGTGTCCGAAGAGTTTACATTTACATTGAAACATGACCGAAGTATTATAAAAATCACTTAAGGCTGCCATAATCTATTACCACATTGGTCCGAGCCTGTTTAAGTTCATGACAACAGAGACTCCTTTTGTAAATAAAAAAATCCTTCAAATAATAGAATTCTTCTTGACAGTATTAACACAACCAAGGGCAAGACCTCAATAGCTACAATCTCAATATATTTGGTGAGTAATTTGTAAATATAGTTTTTAATAATCATTATGTTTGATAGTTAAATGATTTGTAAGATGAAAATAATAGTAATAAACCTTACTACAGTGTGACTGTTACATGGGATACTTTGCTACATTGTTGAGCAAAACCCTGAACTTTAATGCCCGGCCTTTAGGAGGTTTTGTTCTTTTTATGACCTATTAACCTTCTCAGCCTTTTCCCTCCACAGCAGTTACGGCTGCCCACCAGTCTCTCCAGGTGCTTGTTGCTCAAGATGATTGTTAAGTATCAATTTCCTGTGTCACCTTTATGGGTTTTATTTATTTGTCTGCCCCTTCATGTGGAACAGAGCCTGAGCATTACTCATGTAGATGGATTATAACTCAACTGCTACGACTCATCAATCTTGGAAATTTGACTTCCTGAATCTCATACAACTGTTACTGTCATATTACGGCACAGCATTATCAAGATCAATGACGTTTTAAATGCTTCCCAGTTAAGGATGATCGGTGACAATAAAAAAGGTAAGTTGGTGATGAAACTGTCTCAGCTGTGGTGAGCGGCAGTGTGCACAGGGAGCGAGTCACCTGCTGGAGATCACTTCTTCCTCTGATGGGCTTCGGTTAAATGAATGAACTTGTAATCACAGCAGTCACCCCGCTAAATGTCACATGTTGACCGTTATCGATCACCCAGGAATTATTTAACACCCAACGGCTTCATCACAAAGAATCTAATCAATGTACGCTTTATTTTGGTTGTTCTCTCATAAAATATGTGTGAAAAAATCTCACATAATAAAATTTGCAAATATCAACAGTTTCAGAATACTGATATTCAACGTTTAAAATGTCCAGTGTATGTTTTTTGTTTGAGGTCCTTGAGAGCTTGACCCTCTTGCAGCTCAAAGAACATGCATAGTAAAATTGTATTTGCCTGTTAACCAACTTTTGGGCCACAGAAACCCAGATCTATGTACGTCGAAATACTTTGAATTTCATCTGCTCTAAATCTGAGATTGGTGTTGACAGTTCTTTTCATGGATCTTCCAAACCCCCAACAAGTGTCTGGGGTCTAATACATTTAAAATATGACCAATATTAGAATAACATATGACACATAACATTTGTCTCTTTTTGAGTGTTGCATAGCCTTTGGATATTTGTCAAATCATAAAATATGGAACAACAAATATGAAAAACATTAATACATTTGGAAATGAATTTTTTACACATACAGCAGGTGGATCTAGAAATCTGTTGTCAAGAAATCCAGATCGACATTTTGTTATTTTGAATTCCTTTTTAATCCCTATTGAACCTCAAATGTTAAAACTAAACTTTTGAAAGAATAATTTTACGATGTCAAAGTGTCATATTAGTGTTCGACAGTGGTTGTTACAAACCTATGCTGTGAAGCCGAACATTAAGTTTATACAAAATATTTCAGTCTGCATCTTTGGTTAGCATGTAGAAATGATGCACAAGACATCAAATATTTCCACCTAAAATTCATGGAGTCTTGAGTTTGAAAATGTTCTTCAATGTAAACATCATATAGCGTCAGCGAAGGGCATGCTGAGACAGATTATATGACACTGTCAGACAGTGATAAATGTGCAACTGTAAATCTACTTAACCAGACATTAAACTAATATTTTTGATATTGTAAATATCCAGTACTTCATTCATCTAGATAGACATCTAGATATGTTATAAGGTTGACATCTCTCCTCTTATGACTGCAGGAATAATCCTTCCTGAGCCCAAATAGAAGATTAGCGCTTTATTAATACAGTGTCATTTTTATATCAGCATTTTTGCTATCAACCATGATTAGCATGCACAGGAGACTACTGATCTGCATTGTGAACAAGCAGGGGATGTTTAAATACTAAAAAATAAAAACCACTCCTACTCTTTCCCTGCAGCGAAAACTATGCTGCATGAGGGAGAATTTTACACAGTGTGCTGCAATGATGAACATTTCCTCCTGTTTCATGTTTAACCCCGCTCATTTCCCACAGTAAGAACTCCGGAAACACACAAGTGTGCGCAGCAGCTTGGAGGGAGGATGACTGATGGCTTGTTGTCATGATGTTTGGGATTCAGCCGACTCGAAGCCTCTTGGCTCACTGAAGCTGTGAAGCACTGCAGTGCATACAGGCTGTTGTTTGAAAAGTCCCGGTATTAGCAAGGTATTGCTTCATTGTCACACTGTTGAGCCTGTGCAGAATGCAGTTATCTGTCCCTAGCCATTTACACTGTAGTTGCATTGGATTTATGATTACACTTCCTGAACCGGGACATATTTCCAACCATTCAACAACGTAGCAAGGACACTTATTAGAATTTTACAACGGGACTGGATGGATTTTTTTGTTTTCAGATGTTATTCCCTAAATTGTGTGTGGGCTGGGTATACACTGAGCCAAACCTCACTCCTGACACCACTATTTCTCAAAAATGTCAATATTTGAAAAACACAGACATGCTCTATCAATCATACAGATAGCCATCTTTCAACCGGTCAATGTGCCACACTTGAATATCTGTCTGCCTCTGCCTCAGCAGTGCTCTGACCCTTTCTCTCTCTTTATTTCTTTTTGCCACATTACAGCTCTATCATGATGCCACATTGATGAGCCTGAGCTCCATAAACATGGCAAAGATGGCTGTCATCTTTCCCTCCTGGAACTGCATTAACGGCAGTGACCTCTCTGGGTGCTGGTGACAGTCGTCTGTCAGCGCTGGTTAATTCCCAGTCTTGTGAGGGTCAAGAGCTGACATATAATGAGGCTTGACAGTGTTGGAGGGACAAGGGTCTGGTGTCAATGGCGGCCAGTAGCATCATGTCAGCAGCAGAAGGATGAGGGGTTCAATTCAAACCACGGAGGTAATCCGAGCACGGCTGCTTTATCCCAGGGCCTCAACTGCCTATTGACACACATCAGAGCATGGACGCAAAACAAATTAGCATCAGTCAATATTCTCTCCCTCCTCCTGCCTCCTGACACAGCCACCCAAGGGCTGCCATGTTTGCTTCACCTCCAGTCAAAACAATAGAGACAATAGTGATCATGATGGAAAACGCCTGCGCTGACTTCTTAAGTGATGTTTTCAGGGTTGGGGGCAGAATGTTCACAATTCTGGTCTGTGTGTTGATAGCATGCAAACTTTGGTTTGAGGGGAATTTCCTTTAGAATTGGATCTACTTCACTTAAATTGTAGGAATATTCTCTTTCTTATTTTTTCATGCAGAATTTGTGGTTTAGGGGATACAAGCTGTCCAGAGGAATGAGCCTCAGCTATAGATGTCTTGTTTTTGTGTGCTAAATGTGATCATATAACTTCTGTTGCATAAAAGGTGTTGGGAAGTGATGTGGAAAAACACTTCAAATATGCTAATCAAACATATGGCACTTCTAGGGAACAAACACGGATTGCTGTTGTCGTCCTACATGATAAAAAGGTTACTTGGTTTTAAATGTAATTTGAATACGTCCGAGGGCTGCAATGGGCTGAGGCTGATGCATTTTAAAACACACAATTTGTTTGCGTTGGGGAAAACAGACATTGTTCAGTTTTTTTTTCCATTCTTCTTCTTCTTGTTCTTCTTCTTTCCCCTATCTGCAACCCCCCTCCCTATGCAGAAAGCCATTACAGAAATACAATTTCTAATACCTCCGCACAGGTCTTCGATCGACTGCAAACAAATTTATATTCAGGCGGTAAACAGAAAGCTGCAGAGATTTATTTATTGAGTGTGGAGGAGAGAAACAAGCTAGCGTGTGAACCCTGAGTAACCTCCGAGCTGACATGAAGATGGATCAGTGCGCCCTGCAAATGCATGGAGAGAAGGGATATATTGCACTCAGTCATTCAGCACATCGCTGCCTGTAGAATCCCATTAACTCCCACAGCTGGGACCATATTTCTGTGTGGTAAGAATGCAGTTAGAAGTTGTTCATTACGCTGAATTATTTTGTAATTACTGCAGACTTAAAATAAATAGGTGATATTGTTCAAATGAAACTATAACATCAGTAATCTGCCATTGTTTAATATTTAGGTTGTTGTTAAATGCTATGGGTGGGAGTGTTGTATGGTTATCTCAGTTTGAGAAAATAACAATGATTACAAGTCAAATGTAATTATTTAAAAATAATTAATTAATTAATTAATTGGCTGTATGTATTTTTTTTAATTGATTGGGACAGGAAACATTCAGAAAAAATATCTAAATAACACACATTTACTTTGAGTAAAATTAATTTTAAATGGCTAGGCTTTAGTGATCATTTGTATTCCAACCACAGGAAAAAAAATGGTTAAGGTATACACATTTATGAAAATATAAAACAAAGTCTCTTCAGTTTGGACTGAAAGCAAAACAATTTAAAAGGTTTGTGGATTAAACATTGACATGTTATATATAGCTCCATTAATTCCGTATGTTTTCAATGAATGCTTGGAGGCTCTACCACACGTGTATATTGGAAAGTAGGTCACCAGATTTCCGTGAAGAAAAAACAAAAAACGTCTGCTGCTGTGGAGCTCATTGACATTTTCACTTCTGGGCGGAGGTGACAACACTGGGCTGCTGTGTTCCTGTGTGCTGCAGCACAGGCCGGTTTTATTATTTGCATGTGTTTCAGGGCAGTGCAGGTGAAGTCGTGGGCTTGGTGTATTCTTCTTGTGTATGTAGTTATGGAGAGTTTTTTGTTGTGTTTGTTTATGTCACTCAAGTTTGAATAGCCGCATGTAGCGTTATTTGCACATGCATGAAAAGTATCACACGGCGATTCAGGACTGAGTAAACACGCAATTGTATTGAGAAGAAGAAGAAAAAAAAGGCACAGGACTAAAACAGATTCTGGGCTCTTTTTTTAGCGCATGGACAAGCTAATCCAGCGGAGGAGCTACTTTAACCTCGATATGAACATGTCCTTTCTGTCGTTACAACATCTTGATCTCTGCTCGAAGCCATTTTTGTATTTGTTCGAGGCTAATTACAAATCTGCTGCCACTGAACTTCTAAATAGCAGCTGTCACGACCTCTGAACCCATTAAGTGTGCCTTTCACATGACCTAAGCCCTTCGCTAAATAGGGCCTCGGGTTTTCAAGAAGCCTCCACACATTAGCATAATCCATTAGCTGCATCAATATAGGCCTATGCTAATCTAGCTTTGGGATCAAATAAATGTTCTTTGTTGTCTTGAAAATGTATCTCGTTCTTTGTGTGTGAAATAAACACTCCTGACGTAATTTCCTACCTGAACGCAGGTGAGAGGCCCATGAAGGCCCTAGCGTCCTCTGCTGCTGTTGGAGAACTTCCTCGCTGTTTAAGGATGTTTTGTAGTGTTAGTAGCTATGGCCTGCCACTCTTTGTGCTCGGACACAATTAAAATGATGACCTGAAGTGAGTTTCTCAACTCGGTTTAATCAGTGTTGTCCTCTCTGATGACAGAGATGTCCGGCTATTGGCCGAGACCAGGAGGGCACGTCATCTCCATCAATCAGGGACTGCTGTTTCTCCTCTGAGGAATGTCCCCACGGTCGTCCAGCCGCCTGACCATGCGTTACTTGGATGCATGAGAGGCCGGGCATGAAGTGCAACCCCGTCCAATGATTATGCAGGGAAGAGGTGATAATGACTTCCTATCAAGAGTTAACGGCCGAAGGGAAGAGAAGCCCTCTGTTCACGGGCTGCTGCCGAGCAAAAGAGGTCATAAACCGGGACCTGAACGGCAGGACTCTCCCTGAACTCGACAGTCATGATGTGGAGGGGAACCTGGAGGTGGAAGTAGCCTCAAGATGTAATACTCCGCATCCCCGGTACTTAACTCTCTCCAACAGTTTGACTCTGTGCACCTCTTTGGACAGCCCTCCTCCTCCTCCACCACCGTGTGAGGCTCTCGAGGGCTTCTCGACACCGGCCTGCCCCCACTCGTCCCGTGTCCCCTGGCGGTGCAGGGCGCAGGGGCAGGGCTCTGCAGGACGCGGATCATACTGCGCGTCAAGTAACAACGAAACGCTACAATCCGGCTTTGGGTCACTTACTGAGACAATTCAAAGCTGCTCCCATAATGGCCCCGAGATTCACGTCGCTATGGGGAGATCAGCTGGCTCGGACTTTAACGTAGCTCATATGGATGTAAGCAGTAACACTTTTGAGTGGATGAGAGTGAAGAGGAGTCAGCACCGAGCGGGTACGTTTTTGACAAGAGGAGGAATAAAGTTACTAAATGTATTCAGGATATTCATGTTTAGGATTGAGTTTATGTTTAATATTTAGCTTTGATTAACTTCAATTCATAGTTGGGGAAAGTTTGGTCGAAGTTTTCTCTTCATGCTTTAAAAAAAAGGGAGAGAGAATGAATAGCTGACGTGTTTTGTGCGTCATCGTCCACAATTTCCTCCGTCCACAACATTGAAGGTACATTGAAAATAAATAATGTAAAACGTGTGAAGGAATATCAAAACGTTTGAGAGGCTGCACTAGTTGTTTAGTCGAGGCACATTTGAATATGCACATGAGGAGTCGGTCACTATTTCCTTAACGGTTCCATGTTAATGTGAGTCTGTTCTTTAACATTGTCGCTCCATCTGCTGTTACAAGCAGGAGTTAGACTGTGCACACAAGGAGGGAGGAGTATAGTCAAAGGCCTGCTTAGCCTCACTGTAGGCTATATTCAACCCGGAAAAGGATAAATTATTTACCCTTGCCCTTACTAACCAGTAGTCTTTGAATAATGCAACAGAGCACTGCCTGTCGAGACTCACAGGAAGTTGAGTAAAACTTACTCCTGTAATTTGGAGTGCTCCCTGAGTATTGATTAGTTGTCTGTTTGTAATGAAAGCTCTTGCGTATTGATTTCAGTTTGCAGCACCTTTACATGTGTCCACCTTTTTAACATAATTGCTGTCACAGATCATCATTTCCCTGACTGATGAGTCCTGGGCACAGAGCCCACAGAAGAATACATATCCCAGGCTTAAAAATTACCAATAGCTTGCTAATGTGAAAAATACCTATCAATCATCAATGTTATATGAGTAATAGCATCTTATATAGATCACTCAATCGATCAATAATGTCAGTTGACTGACTTGCCACTGGACCTGGGTTGGGTTTCATTCATTTTATGTGAAAAGATTTACTACAGTGGTGGTCCAGTTTTTTCTTTTCCCATTGCACATTATCTGTCTGCTGAAGGGTGCAGCTGACCCAAATGTTCAGTGACCAAAGATGCAGGCGGGTCATTAGCACTACTGTTTGTGGAGAAAAGGCCATGCCTCTCTGTGAGGGCTGCAATAAACAAACTCTGCAACCAAATTCACATTAATATTTTTGAATGATGTGGACTAAACGCATTGTTTTTGATAATGATTCATATTTAAGTCAGTGTGCCCAAAATGTGACCTCACAACATTTGATGTGGCTTCATAAAACGATTTTTACCCTTTTGATAACCCTTTCTTGCATGGTCATTTATGATCAATCATATAACTTGTGAAACATCATTTAATATCAAGGCAGGAGTACAGAGGCAAAAGAAGACATTGCCTTTCATTTGAGTATATCAATATTATCTGATGGAGAAATCATGAACTGTAAATTGCAATGTACATGCAACAAACTCTGATGATGCCACTGTGAGGGAGGAAGAGGTTACAACAACACATTTCACTGGTCGAGGAGTCATTTTATTCATAAAACACATTAGCCACTCATCTGATCCAAATCCGAGCTCTTGAGAAAGCCATTTACTAACAACCACCCACGCACACACATTTCCTCTCAGTACTGTTAGTATCTTTTTAACCTCTTTCTCTATGTCTCTGAAGGGGATCATCTGTAGGAGTAACTCATTAGAGCTACTGTGTAACTTGTAAAAGAGTCATTAGTGAAAGTACGCTTTCCTCTGAGGTTGTATTGGTTTTGGCACCAAAGAAAGTCTCGCGTATCTTTCCACGTTGAAAGGCCTCCACAGACCTGCAGTAACCTGATCTCTTGGCTCAGTGTATATACTCCCAGTGCGTCATTCTTCAATTATGCTTTGACAGCACCTGAATTACTGTGGGCTGGATGCCCAGATGACTGAGGCAATGTGTATCGATCTATCCCTTTTCTTCTTCCCTCTCCTTGCCTTGGAAGGCCCTTCCATTCCCTTTGCAGCCTGGCTATTTTTAAGCATGCAAGTCATTTCTCAAATATTTAGTTTGATTCTTTTATGCCTTCTGGCGGCATCAATTCTATTATCTTTGGCGCCATTAATCAGAATGTGCATGTGATTTGCACTCCTGAAAGCTGAAGTTCTTAATTACAGTTCGTCTGTATTGGTTCTTCATATACACTGCCCTCTAATTCTCAGGCTTGGTTACCTTGACATTCATTTTCTTAAAACACAGATGTCGACATTTATCCTACAACTGACCTTTCCATCTGCTATGCTTTTCCAAGTGGCTAGAGGCCTGTTAACCTTCCTCCCTATGAATTGTGGTGGGAGACATTGCTCTACACCTGGCACGCTGACTCCATTATGCAGCAGCAGCACATTTTCTCAGAGGCAAAGATACACTGGCGACTTAGCCACAATGTCAGCAATGAAAAATCAAGATATAGCTGCGGTTCCTGTCATTCATTGCACATAAGTAGCACAGATGATACTTTAATGTGTGACCCAGAAACCTCAGAGGAAAAAGTGGAGACATTTGTCATTAATGCAGTGTTTGAAAGGATTTGTAAACTGTTAAACTGTCATTGACACAGAAAGGCCTAAAGGCAAATTATTAATGATTCTGATGAATACAGTTAATGGACTGTAAACGATACAAAGTTGTTTTGACTCGACAACTTTTATCTGCAATATACAGCGACATACATTGTTCAACTATTTGGTGATCTTGTCTTGCACCCGCTATAAAAGCAATACCTTAAGAACATAAATGTGAAGCCTATAAAATGTTTCCAAGTCAGAGGTGTCGATTCAAATCTCATCTTGTCTGCAACTTGTTTCTTCTCTTTTGTTAGATAACACACAATTCCTATTTGATAGCAGCAAAATATTTTAAAATGTGCCTATAGGCTTCTGCTAAAGTTGATAGTTCGGTGAAATACGACTACACAGACAGAAAAATGACTTATGGGTAAAACTTTAAATCAACCAACTGGCTGAGCACCAATTCCTACAAATCAAAATCTTGGAAAATAGTTTAATGGATGTTAGAACTAATTTCTTCAATATCAAAAACACGTTTTAATATTATTTTTGTATTTTGTATTATAACACATATTACGAGAGCAGTCTAGACATATAAACATTTAATAACATTTCTGAGGATTTATACAAAAGTTAAAACTATAAATGGCTTGACTTAAATGACTGGTTCCTGTTTCAGCCCTGGAATAATTGTTCATTTTATTTCCTGGAAAAGTGCGTGTATAATTGTATTCAAAAGGGTTTTGTGCTTCTTTTGTGGGTAACCTCATTGATCTTGCTGACGACTGTTTTCATGTGTTCTGTTCACAGTCAGGATGCACATGAGCCGTGGGTTCAGTATTGGCTCGGGCCTCGGTGCTGTTGAGGCTGGAAGCAGCCGCATGTGCACGGATGGCCAGCCCACGGTGAACGGGGCCCCGAGGACCAGCTTCAGCACCAAGCAGCTGACCGAGCTGGAGAAGGAGTTCCACTTCAACAAGTACCTGAGTCGGGCCAGGCGGGTGGAGGTGGCCGGCGCCCTGCAGCTCAGCGAGACGCAGGTGAAAGTTTGGTTTCAGAACAGACGCATGAAGCAGAAGAAATTACAGAGAGACGGGCTGCTCTCCGACCCGGGGCCCGCGGCTGCGAATTCAAATGCCGACTTTTTGGACACCTGCCCCTCTCCTGGACCGACCCCGCCAAAACACCTGCCCCTGAACTCCTGAACCGCAGGAGCTGCACAGCGCGTCACACATGCACGGGCGCCTGCCTGCAGATGTTTTGATTCCAGTTTGCATCGGTTTCAATCAGGCTTCACCTTTATTTGCTTACCACGATGGATGCTTATCGCAAGAAGCGCAATGCCAAGTTTCTTCATGCAAGAACGGGTCAAAACAATTTGTCTTCCTCCCCCGGCTTCAGTCTGGCGCTCTGATTTGAATATTAAAATTCGAGTCATTGCATCCTCTCTAGACAATGTAAACAAGGAAACAAAATTATATTAATTGCCCATAGAAACTGTGGCAGACTATTTGCTTATTTATTTTGGACAATTTGTCCAGGAACTGAATTTACGTATATATATATGATCAACAGGACACGTTGCTCCTAGTTTTGTTTAAAATGTATATTATTTTTATTTATTTAAGGTCTTCATTTGATCATGTTTTTTCAGTTTGCTAAGACAGGAACTACATATTAAGTCAGTTGTACTATTTATTTCACCAGATCGCACATTGCTTTCTCAATCAATTTAAGTTGTAGCTTAATGGAGCTTTCTTTTTTCTCTTTGCTTTGACATTCGTTTGTCTCTGACACATTTGAGGAAAAAGTCAGATGCACCTGTTGTAGAAAAATCACATCCTCAACATGTTAGACAATAATTATCATTCTAATTTAAAAGAGCTTTTTGTTGTGTATTGGTTTTAGGATTTTCCTCCACGGAAAGATTAAAACCATAATTGACTGATAGGTTTATTGATCGCTTATATTCGAACTATTGATCCGTGGTGGTGATCCATCTATTCGAGGCACAATTCTGCGAGCATTTGCATGCATCTGTAACTGCATGTTAATGGGATGTAGAAACATCACGATCGGGAGTTGTTGCGTCTTTTATTACCTCTATATACATGCATCAGAAAATGATAATTTTGCCTGAACACTCATGCGGGAGAGCAGACAATAAAACGCTGTCTGTGCTGTTTTGCAGATCAACCAATAAATTGTGTTGCCCCAGCAGCTCGGGCTGCTAAATATTCCTTCCGGATTCACATCTCATCTCATATAAAGTAAATGATTGTAAACTCGGCCCTTAAACACTGTTATGTTCCCGGATCGCAATGCGTTTCTGTCATGTTAATGTCTATTCAAATATCAAGATATGAGACCATCAGCCACATTAATTCTATATGTGGGAATATTTTTGTTTAGCTTTCAATTAGTGGTGTTTGCTCGGGATATGAACGTTAGTAGATCCACCGCGGATGTTAATGACAACAAAGGAATTAAACCGTAAACCAGTTGGGTGTCGCTTAGAAATAAAGAGCGAGAAACAAAATGAATAAATTAGGTCCGTTTCAATCCCCTTTTTACGTGTCCTCATTCAAATTTAGCGTGTAAAAAATACTAATAAGATAATTATTAGAAAGTTGCTCCTCTGCAATACGCAGGAGTAGACACGAAGCTAAAATATGCAGTTACACTGGAGTTCACCTCTCACCTATTGACCTTTGTCTTGCCTCGGGATAACGATGACCCGGTCAGCGGCTCGGAGAGAGAAAGATGCACCATTCATTTGGATGACCTCGAAGTCTGAGATTACTTTTTTCTTTATATATTTTTCTCTTCCCCCCCTCCCAACAAAACTCGGAACGCTTTTGTTCTGGGTGTCTGTTTCTACACACGATATTTCATCCAGCTGAATAGATGGGCGACTGGGCCATAGGATAATTGTTCATATTATAATTTCATACTCCACATAATGCATTATTTCTACACCTAGAGCTAACCTAATTTTTGCCCAATCTCTTATTTTAATAAGCCAAAAAATATGCTCTTGGCTCACTTTATGAACTGGAAGAAGGAGTCTTTTCACGCAATATGTTTTTAGATATAAACTACAGACCTATTTTTAATTACAAAGTTGACAAATTAAAGTTACTTGAGCATGCTGAATACCTAATATGATTCCATTTCTCAGCCACTATAAACACGATTTAGAACAACTATTCATAACACCCTCGCTGGTTATATATTTCATGCATATCCGCTTACATAATTGTTGATGAATTTAGACATTAATCCTCTACAAACAATATAGCTTATAATGTTCTTCTCATTAATATTAACTGAAAGGTAGAAAGGAATACACTTAAAGGTCTGCAGAGGACATTTTGACAGTGCAAACATTTTTTGCAAGTTTTATTTGTAATTGATATGAATGATTTTACATGCTAGCCAGACGAATAATGTGTTGAGCCCAATTTATTTAGTATTTGCATATAAACAAAATACACACCATTAAGGTCGCTTTACTATAAACAAAATAGCACAAAGTGGAATGTTTAACAAAACCATCAAATGTGTCCTTTTTGAATGCAAATGAGTGTGCACTTGTGAAGGTTAGTATGCTGAGGACAAGGATGATGAAACAATGTGAGGAAAAGTTTGTAGTAATGGTCCCTCATGTTCCCTTCCTACTGAGAAGTATGTTTGGTTGACCTTATTTTAAACTCTTTAATCATCTTGTGCAAATATGTTCCCTTGCCACAGGGCTTCAAGTTACATGTTTTAATGTGTAGAGGATGCTTGCAGCAGGTGTGCAGTCAGACTTGAAAAAAAATCTTACCTTACTTAATCAGAGCCTCTACTGTATAATAGATTCACTTAGAAATACACATTCATTTAAAATAGTGGAGAAAATGTGTGGAGGGAAAGAAAACGTAATCTGAGTTATAGGGTTGAGGTGAAGGTGAAAAGAAGAGCTGATTTATTTGGGTGCACTATCACTTTAATTTCATTCCATGGCAGCTTCAGCATTTGCCTCTCAATTGATGAAAGGCGAACCGCATTGTTTGTTCAGACCTGACATTTAGTTTGAAAGCATTTGAGTGTGACTCTACTCTGATGAATTTGTGCTCTTCTGTAATTTCTTCCTGAAGATGTACGGTTTGTTCACGAGACTGACAGCTGTGCTTTGCTTATACGGGGCCAAACACATGGTAAATGGAAGGAAAATAAAACCAAAATAACTCAGCTGTAAATGTATTACTGCCACAGGTAGAAACAATGGTGACATTGAACAAGTTGAACACATTTCTTTCCCCTTTTATTTTTTTCCCTTCCTGCAGAAATAATGTCTTGTAATGAAATTCCTTACAAAATGTACTTTATTAAACTCCTTTAATTAATCCATAAGGAATATTTTTATAATGAAATACAATAGCTCAACATTATTTATAACAGTGAAGTTACCTGTTAATTTGTCTTCTTCTGGTAAAACACTCTAATTGAGATATTCAATTAAATCATGGGATGGTTCATCATGAGAAGAATATTGACCATATTCGGTATTGTCTTCTATTTCAAAGGCAGCTTTTTCAAATCTCCTGAGGAGTGCTGCATGGTATGAGCAATGAGAGAACATATACGGTTTACAGAATATCTTAAACTACTTTTTCAATTCACACATATGCTGTGGGTTCCTTTTTAACTCATTGTAATTAATGCTAAGTTGACCTAAAATTAACTTAATGCATAATATGCATGTAATATCCTCACCAGTGCTCAGGGGAATACAATCAATGTATCAAGTTAAGCTCTTTCTCACTCTATGTGAAGCACTTATAGATAGTTCAGTTGTTGTTTTCGTTGTTGTTGTTGTTGTTGTTGTTGTTGTTGTTGTTGTTGTAATTACAGACCTTTTGAATGTTCACCTCCCTTTTTAGTTTTTTTCTGCTCGTCTGATTTTACTGTTTTTATTTATTTGCAAAGACTTTCTTGCACTATTAGTCTTTTTAGATCGAGCTCATTCACATATTTGACTACCAAACAATTTGTGCATCAAGAAAGTTAAAATGAAGTGCACCTGTTTCTATGTGAGTGTGTGTGTCACTGTGTGTGTGTGCCAATGCATATTTGGGTGCCCTGTGTACAATTACTCAAATATTTGTTTTGTTTCCGAGGTGCTACTAATAAAGCGTTCAAAAAAATACAAAGCAGCTATTTTAAATAATTGTTCACTCTCACGTGCATTCATGCTCACACACACACACACACACACACACACACACACACACACACACACACACACACACACACACACACACACGCTGAATTACAAATCCATACATAACACATTGTGACAGAGCTACTGAACAAGCTACACACCAATCCAGTCCTTGCCTCTCCTCTCCTGCTACACTCCAGGGAGCAGATGTTTGGGGACAGCTTACAGCCTCAGCGAATTCCTGTGTACAGAGCAAACAGCAGCACTCAGCACTTCTGGCTGCAAAGAGAAATTTGCTCTTGAAAAGGGGAGTGGGGGGCTTTAAGTCATTGTAAGGTATTATGAGGATGGTAGGGAGAATAGAGTGAGAAGGGTTGCATGTAGAGGTGAAACTGTGTCAAGGTTGCTAGTGTGTTGCATAGGATAATTCCCTGTTTCCATAGACTGGTGCTGTGTCGTAGCAGTGTGTGAGAGCATTATGTTCAGTGTACACAGTATCTCCCAGTGGCATCCTGCCGCATCAGTAAAATCAACCAAGGTGGCCCTACTACATATCTGATTGTGTGGAGTCTCTGACCTCTTCCACGAAGCCCTGTTTACTCACTAGTTTGAATTGCCCTTTCAAAAGTTGCAGACAGGCAAAAAGTGAAGGGAAACAATGGGGAAGCATTGGAATGAGCCTTAACAGAGTTTGCTGATACTGCATCTGAGACATCAGCCATAACCTAGGACCAGCGATGCTAATGATGCCATTAATATGATCCACTGATTTAATGGCAACAGTCTTGTGGTGGCATGCTGCATGTACTCCCTTCAGTCTACATTTTATCATTTGTTTTACATTTAAAAAAAGAATTCTGTCTGTCAAAATGTTCGTTGTGTTACTCAAATATCATGAAGCATAAGCATATTAAAAGACTTAAATAAATACATGTTTTTGATTCCTTTTTGCTTCCAATATGTTTACATTGCAGCTTTACCACATGTGCTCGGAATGAATGGGTTAAAACAAACGCTCATGTCCAAACATGTGCAAGTACACAAATTTTGACCTCTCATCAGTGTATTATAATCCCTAAACAAACCATCATAAATGAGCCCAGCGATGCTTATTTGTCTGAACGACGACTACACCCTCCTCCTCTGCCCCTGGGGTGAGGTTGCCATAGTGACAGATTCATAGACATATGGAGAGAGAGGAGAGGGAAAGCCGAGTTGAAGGGGCGGGGCTGCAGGGGTGAGTAGAGGGGGGACAGAGGAGAAGGGGATGGGTTACAGTTTGAGGACGTTGGCGCTCTGTCTTTCAGATGTGTCTTTGTGTTTCATCTGTCAATCAGCCATCCGTGTCAGTCTGCGCTCAGTGAGCGAACAGTTCATGAACTTTTCTCAATCAAGTCTCTGTCAGGCGCCATCTTGTCTATATTTCATCAGAGAAAGGATTGATTCTCGTGCCAGCTTCACAGTTTTAAAAACACAATATGTGCAGTGGTGCCATATAGGCAAATAGTTCAGTGGAAAAGTGTATTAATAAATTGATTTGGAAGGCTGTGTTCACATTTTGCAATCTCTGGCCATTTTGTGTTTACACTGATGAACGATAAACACACATAGGCTACAGATGTTTTTGCTACTCACTAATTAAATTCAGATGATGTAATCAACCTTTCAGCCAACCTGAGGACAGCTTGACAATGGACCGGGAGAAAAGGAGAGAGGGAAAGGAAGAGATGTGAGAGGAAGGGAGGGGGGTAGCAATGAAGCAGCCATCAGGCTGGCCTCGCTGCTATAAAAACACATTTTTTTCATCAGCCATTTTATGCAAAAGGAGTAGACCAGGTGCTCAATCAAACCTCACGCCTACTGTTTTATTTTTCATCTTCACCCCTCCCAATGCTCCTCTGCACAAACCTTCTGTGTGTCTTCCCTCGCTCCGTTTCTTCTACTGTTCTTCCCTCTCTGTATGTCATTCGTCTTCCCTCCTGCCTCTGCTCTCCAACTGATATGAGAGAGTGACCCTTGGGCCCTCGGGGGTCAAGTGATACAAGGTCATTGGCGGGTCATCACTGCTGACTGGCTGACCTCTAAAAGGACTTCTGTAAGGAGCCAATCAGGTCTTGTTCCTTCCCCCCTTAGGCGGATCCCCCTCCCCAACTCATCAGCAGCCTGTGTCACATGACCAGGGCGAGGCATCAGAGGGAGGATGATTAATGATGCTTTTAGTACCTGTTTAGAATGAAGCTGTCCACACCGCACTGTAATTACCTACTCCCAGGCGGCAGCTGCCCAACATAATTGCTTTTTGTTTGTTGACCTGGTTTATTGAGGAGAAAGATGGTCTTGGCAAGGCAAAGATGGTACTATTTACTGTACACAGAGGTGAGAGGTGATGCATGTATGTTAAAAATGTGGTTGACAGTGTGTGTTTCAAATCAATGTGAGCTACAAAACTGTGAGCAGGAAGGTGTGTTTAGAGGAGATACAAGAGACAAGACGCAAATATGCTTCGGGCACCGTGCAAAAAATCCATGTAAAGGATTCAAGAGTTGTGGTATGCAGCTAACAAATGGCAGTCAGGAAGCTGTAAGACATGCAACCCTCCCACCTAAGGTCAAAGACAGCCACAGACCTCTTGTGCAAGGGTACAGCATACCACTGGAATAGACAAGTATTCAACATGCATAACAGTTAAGGAGGGGTGTACCCTGTCATGCATAATTGATGTCAGTATCTTCAAATAATGTTGCTGTGTTGCTCTGAAAATTCAAAACAAAGTTCAGAAGGTCAATGGAATACTGCACCTGAATCCCCCCACCCCCCCTTTTTTTTTTGGCTACAGGCCTAAGGCAAATATGAACATTTCAGTACCTGCGGCGCATGCCACGGGAACAGTGACAATGAAACCCAGATAAACAGCCCCTCGTTTGACCTATGGAGAGCATAAATTTACCGCCCATAAATCCTTTGGTGTTTCAGCTCCGTTTGGCGCATTTGCTGTGCTTCTCCAGCCAAACAGAGAGAGGCAAGTGTCGAGTATCAGTGCTGCTGTATGAGCAGCTTTCATCCTGCCCCTGGTTCTCACATAACTCAGTCCTGCAGCCTTTATCACCGCCTCATAAATAACTAGGCTATCGCCTGATAATGTCCACTTAATGCTTAGTCAATAAAGCCCACAGTAAGAGGGGCCTTTTTTAGCCTCTCTCCTGTACATAAATATAAACAGTGCAGTAGATTGATGTGATGGGCAGGCTCTTTCTGCACTGGGACAAAAAGAGGCAGCGTGTGGGCCTGAGAGCTGAAGGTGGGCTGTGGGGCTGCAGGTGTTTAGAGGAGATAGTGGGCTGTAATGAGGGGGCTGCAAGAGAAGGGCTGAGTGGATAGCCTTGACTGATCACCTGTGAAAGGCACATACACACATATACACACAAATGATAGCACACAGACAGAAGCACATGCGCACGTAGGGACACTCATTCACACACCCACATACTAATGCCATCATTAGTTAACCCATTGGTGCCGAGGCCTGCTGCACAAAAGCTCATCCTCCCTATTTGAAGGGCATTAGAGCATTATGATAAAGACACTCCCAAATGAACTGCTTCTGTATGTTGTTAACGCCTCTTTTTAATCCTTTGACACATTTGCAAAACCAACCTTATGATGCCACCACAGAATGATATCCAGGGATGTAAGTTTCATTGTTTTGTGCACATTGTAGAGACAGTTATCGACCATTCACACTAGTCATCAGCCCATCCAATTCCAGTGTGGCGCCACGGGCAGCTGTAGTCAGTGTGATGGCTGGAATGGGATCAGACTGAGCCCTGGGGAGACAGGAGAGACTGACAGGGATGTTGCCGGGTTGAACGAGGGGCCTGATTGTGATCCATGAGTTAGCCAGCTCAGCAGCACCTGGGCTTGGAGCAGCAGCTGGGAGAGATGGGGAGGACGACACAGAGTTGGTTCAAAATGAGAGGGATGAGCCAATCAGCTTATATTGACACACATGGTGACGTGCAGTGGGTGCTTTGGATGTTGTATGAGTGTTTACTCTGCACACATTTAGTCAGGCCAGATTTAGCCCCAAGAACAGGCAATTCACCAAATAGGACAGAAATTCCTGCTAATTGATATTCCTTTACATGTTTTGTGTGAAATGCTGAGGCTAATATAGATCATCTGGGAGATATTTAGACTCTTTTACTTGAGCTTTTATAATAACACTAAATAAACATAATGGAGTTACAGACCGTTGCGCCACTTCATTATGGCTAAGCTTTCGAGAATCATAACTTACCTCAGATAACTTTGAGGCATATTACCATCCAGTTAGATTCCAAGATCTAATGCTATACGTGTGTGTGAACTACAAAGAAGACTATAAATGAAATTATTAAAAAGAAATGCACTGTCTTTGGACAGGACTTTTATTATCATGGTCTGGTAATGATGTAACAGATTATAACTAATGAGCAAAATGAAAAACAGAAACACAATGGTATTTACCAAAACATGAAATTGGCAGGTCTTCACAAAAATGAAGATGTAAGTATAATTTTTCCAACATGTGCCAGAAAGTTTACTTCAAAAGAAGGGATGTGGGTCATAGAACAAAACAAATCAGAAGCAGAACAAAGAAAATACACATAACCAAAGTATTTGAAGCAACAATTTGGCAGATTTGGCAGGTGAATGCTAAATGTGTTAGTTAAATTGGGTTCTTGATATGGAGGGTGTTGCATCTTACAATACTACACTGATGTAACTTCCTCACACCTGCACACACACATGTAAAGGAAATTAACAATCCTAAGTCATATATGTATATTCAACTGATCAGTTTTTTTACTTGTTATTGCGATTTTTATATTCAAACCGTTGCTTACATGTCTAATGTTCTTTTTCATTTTATTATCCATTTGTGAACTCTTATCTGTACTATCCTGTGTTCTATTCTTACTCTGTTACTGCTACTATCCCTTCCTTTTAGCTTATCTTAATATACACACATTTTCACCACACTTTGAGATCAACAATAAGAGGCATGATTAGGGTAGCGCTTGTAAACAATGTAATTACAAATATGTTCTAAAATGATAATAATAATAATCGGGAGAACAGAATACGTTTCCTTGGGTGAGGCAGAGTCGGGTATCCTTGATGTCACCTGTGGTGTCCCTCAAGGATCAGTTCTCGGCCCCACCCTATTCACACTCTACATGCTCCCCCTTGGCTCTATCATCAGCCGACATGGAGTATCATTCCATTGTTACGCCGATGACACCCAACTGTACCTCAGGATCAACCCTACCTCCTCTGCAGCCCTGCCTTCACCCACACTTACTGCCTGCCTGGAGGAGATACAGGCGTGGATGAAGCAAAAATTCCTGAAACTCAACAGCTCCAAGACCGAAGCCATTATAGTTGGCACCCCACACCAGGTTCGGTCATCCACCATCACCACCATCACCTTCTCCGGCCAAAACATTACCCTCTCCTCAACAGTCACCAACATGGGTGTGAAAATGGATGCCCATCTGACTACGTCGCTGATATTAAACAGCTGTGCAAGAACTCCTTCTATCACGTCAGGAATATCGCCAAACTCCGCCCCCACACTCACGCCGAAAAGCTAGTCCACGCCTTTGTCTCCTCCAGGCTGGACTACTGCAATGCACTCCTCATCGGGATCCCTAACAAAAGCATCCAGAAGCTCCAGTACATTCAGAACAGCGCTGCTAGGATCCTGATGAGGGTGCGCAAATAAGATCATATCACCCCCATCCTTAAAGCACTACACTGGCTCCCCGTGGAACTGAGGATTGAATACAAGGTCTCCCTCTTCACCCACCAGTGTATCCATGGAACTGCCCCCCCTATCTCAAGGAACTCCTCACCCCTCATACTTCCTTGCGGACCTCCCGCTCCAGAAAAGCCAACCTCCTCAAACCCCCCAGGAACAAGCTCCGTACTATGGGAGACTGGGCTTTCTGCTCGGTTGCTCCCAGACTGTGGAATGCTCTCCCCGAGCACATGAGAGCACCACAGACCGTGGAGGCTTTTAAAAAAGGCCTCAAATCCCATCTGTTCAATAGAGCCTTTGCCTGGACCTTTTATCTTATTTATTACTACCCTTTTATTTATTTGTTATTGTTTGTTTTTACTGCTTTTTATTAATTCTACCGTGTTGTGTACTGTTTTATATTGTTCCATGCTCACTGCTTGTAGCACTTTGGGATTTGAACTCAAATATGAAGTGCGTTATAAATTAAACCCATTATTATTATTATTACCTGGTTGACAGCGGGGGGGGCCCTGCACAGAGCCAGGAGTCTCTGCAGCTGCAGGATACTGAAGTTAGACACCCCAATGCTCCTCACCTTCCCTGAGGCCTGCAGGGCCTCCATGCCCTGCAACACAACACACAGCAGGGAATGAGGAGCTCTAAATATCCTACCATTTATCAGAAACAAATATAAAGATATGTTACAGTTTCACACTAACAGGAGTGTAGATGAACCTCCAGGGAGAAAACTTGTTTATCTTTCACTGTCATATCAATGGTAAATGATTCTGTGAAGGACAGTGAGGATGAGTGTGGAGCGGCATATGGATGTTGTGGGGGGGCCGTTGTAAGTGTAACAGAAAGAGTGTTGTTACCCTCCACACATCCACATAGTCGATGTCAGAGGTCAACATCTTTCCATCCTTCTTCGGGAAAAGCTCATCACCCATTTTCTAAAAAAGAAATGTAAAGGTAATAAGAGATGCTTCTTGGCAAAGATATATGGCATGTGTGCTTTTTCGATTTGTAATTGCATCCTCCTTCAACTCGACTAAGCACATTTAGAAACACATATAGAGCCATAAATGTTGCATAATCTGCATTCATTCTTATATATTTTAAATATTGGCAATAAATATGAATATATTATTTCAAATAGTTGTTCATTTAGTGAAACCTGCTAATAATTAGCACTTTGCTCGTAATAATCACCTATATAAAACATAATTAAGCCTATTTTCAGTCAAATAAATGTGGTTAGCCATGTGTGTCTTAGAGCTATTGCCTGAGTTTCATTTGGAGAGTTTCAGCCCCCTAATGAATAAGAATCTTGAAATGCAGCTTTGTTGGAACAGAATCTTAAGGCTCTAAAGTCCAAAAATGCAGACCAGCTCCGGTCAAATCCTTCCTTCATAGCATCAGCTCAGGACCTCCTCTATACATCAGGATAAGGAGCTGTACATTTTTAATTGTGACAAAAAGTTCTGAATGTTACGCTCAACCTTTAGACCAACAGGGAAATGCACGAGGTACAGGTCCAGGTAGTCCAGTTGGAGGTCTTTCAGGGACTTATCCAGGCACACAGGGATGTCCTCTGGGGCATGATGGGTAAGCCACAGCTGTAGAGGAAATACAATAAGAGATAATGAACAGGAGAATAACAGAAAAAGAATGAATAAAAAAACATCGGAAAAGACATTCTAAACATGTTTAATGCACAACATTATTTAAATGTTGTTTTATTAACTCAAAAGTTTTGTGGAGAAAGTATAAAAAGTTTTATGTTAGAAATGTTTAGTAGGGTCCCCAGCACATAGAAACTGCCAGATACTAACTTGCATGTCTCGGGCAAATTGCACAATGAGCATTTAGTTAGCATTAAATACCAGTAAAGCCTACCCAGCTAGCGGGGGAAATTCTCACAACTTTGGCTAACATTACCTACAGGTTCTAATAATGTTTTAAAGAAACGTTTTAGGATGTTTATTATTTCAAATAATATTTTTACTCTTGGAAGGCTGACTTTGATATATTTTGGGTCGATTTTGAAGTTTTAGGGGACAAATGGATCATTTGAATTGGAAAACGTTTTTTCCACTGTAGAGATAATAATGTTCATCTTGTTCTCTCTATATCCAATGGTTGCAACACTAGGCTACTAATGGTAGTCATCCCACCGAGAGTACAAATATGGCCACTCTGGTTAAAACTGCCATTTTGAATCCTGAAAGTGTCGGAAATTGACTCAGCATCCTCAATAACCACAAAAACCACTCCAGAACTGTCCATATCTGCCAGGCCATTTTAAACTATTGTTTGCATAAGCTACAATGCTAATACATTCTAATTTTGCAAATTGCCCAACATATGTTAGCCTCCGGCAGTTTCTATGTGTAGCCTACTATACAATTCTAACATAAAACGTTGGGGTTCTAAACATCTCCAGGTTCTACGCTGGCAACTAGACTAATGTGCGAACTTCAGCTTGTGTCCACTTTCATGCATGCTGGGACAGGTGTAATTTCAGCTCTTTGCCATTCAAAAACTCATCAGTTGTGTGAACAGCATGCTTTGCCCCCCC